AAATCATCACATGACTCTCTGTTTCTTCAATCATCATCATTAACCATGTCTTTCTTCTATTTCTCCTTCCTTCTCTCCCTTTTTATCTTCCCTTCTGGTTCTCAATCCTTAAGAGGTAAACCCCTTTTCCCCATTTCATTAACCCCTTTTCAAAAATTTGATCTTTTTTTCAAGATTTCAACTTTTCTTGTTTTTTTTCAGGTGTTTTGATTGATTGTGGTGCTGTAGTTGATTCTGTAGTTAATGAGCAGAATTGGGTGTCGGATTCTGGTTATGTATCAGCAGGAAAACCCAAGAATCTTACTGTTGATGTTCTTAATTATACACTGTCAACTGTCCGTACATTTCCATTGAAGAACAATGTTTTCAAGAAATTCTGTTATGAGGTTCCTGTTTATCGTGGAGGGAAGTACTTGGTCAGGACGACGTATTTCTATGGTGGGGTTAATGGGAATTTGAATCCTCCTGTGTTTGATCAGATTGTTGATGGGACTTTTTGGAGTCCAGTGAATACAACTGAGGATTATTGGAATGGAATGTCTTCATATTATGAAGGGTTTTTTAAGGCTGTTGGGAAGAATATGAGTGTGTGTTTGGCTGCAAATAGTTTAACGGATTCTGACCCTTTTATATCTGCTTTGGAACTTGTTTTGGTGTCGGATTCGTTGTATAATTCTACAGATTTTAATATTTATGGATTGACTTTGATTACAAGGAGCAGTTTTGGGAACAATGGATCAATTATCAAGTAAGTTTGTTCACCTATATGGACCTAAAGTTGTTAGCTTTGACTAAAAAAGATTGCTTTTGATTTGATTAAGTTGGTATTTTTAAGTTCTGATTATGATTCCTGAATTTCGCGATGCAATTCAAATACATTTACAGTTTATGTAGAACTGAATCCCAATTCAGGTGTTGAAATGATTAGCAATTTATGTATTTCAATCCCTATTGATCATCGACTTGCGCCTGAACTTTAAGATTTTAGAAGTTCTTTCAACTTTCAATATAGAATCTGCTGTAATTTGGTTTAACTAGTCTGAATAACTCTTTTGATCACAATGTGAATTGAAACCTTTGAGGCTAAGTTCTTTCTAGTGCTCATTTGGAATAGGTTATGAACTGCAGCAGAATCTATCCTATTCGCGTTTCTCCTAAATTTATTACAAGGAAGATAGAAAAATGGCTAGGCATGAGTTATGCTCTTTGTACTAACCAGATAACGGCCTTTGTGAGCATATCTTTTTGAGCGTGTTCCTGAAAATTGTTCTCAAGCATATCTAAAGCAAGAAAATTCCACCCTTAATATACATAGTTGCTAAGCTGTCTGAATGCAAATATACTCTAGTCTATTTGGTTACTAGTTTTATAGTGGTTGTTAGAGAAATTAGTATCTGATTATATCATCCATGTTTAAACAAACGTGTTTCTTTTGGTTATGTTTATCATAACTTCAAGCATTTTAACCTGCTAGATATCCTGACGATGAATTTGATCGTTACTGGGAGCCCTATGGACAACATTCTCCTGCAGAAAATTTCAGTCATGTTTCTGTTTCTGGTATCTGGAATCACCCCCCGGCAAAAGTATTTCGGACACGGTTAACAGTACCTAAGCCTGAAGCTATGGAGTTATTATGGCCTCCAGCACCTCTCCCAAACGCAACGTATTACATAGCTCTTTACTTTGCTGATGATCAAAATTCACTCTCAGGAAGAACTTTCAACATAAGCATAAATGATATATTGTTTTATCCCAACCTTAATGTTGCTCCGGCTGGCATGGTTGTGTTTGCAAGTCAGTGGCCTCTGTCTGGTATTACAAAGATAACTTTAACTCCGGTGATTGGATCAAGTGCTGGTCCGTTGATTAATGCAGGAGAGGTTTTTGAAGTGTTGCCCCTCGGAGGAAGAACTCATACTCGAGACGGTAATCTGCTTTTCTGGCTTCTAATATAGCACTTGGATTAGCATGAGCAGTCCTCTAGGATTACTTTTTACCTCATTTTCTGTTGATTAATTACCTCTGCTACATCAATGTGATATATTTCTTACTGTAGTGATAGCTCTGGAAAAATTGAAGGAGAGCTTCAAGAATCCTCCCCCAGATTGGAATGGTGATCCATGTTTACCTCCTCAATACCAATGGACTGGAGTTACATGTGCTGGAGGATCACGAATTCGTGTTACTTCTTTGTGAGTTCAGATGTCTCTTACTCCATTAGCCTCAAACTCTCCCACGTCACCCGCCTCATGAATAAGAAAAATGGGAAAAATGAATACCTTACCTTACCCCAACCCAAATTACGATTGGCCAACCTGTTAACTTGTGTTCCTTTCTCCTTTGTCTGCAGAAACCTAACAAGCATGGGTCTTTCTGGATCAATTTCACCTAGCATTGCCAGATTGACAGCATTGAATGGCATGTAAGTGAATATTAGTTTCTTAGTGCTCATATATTGATGGATGCAAATAGATTTCTTAAAAGTCTCGTACTTATCACAGATGGCTTGCGGATAATAATTTGACGGGATCTATCCCAGATTTGAGCTCACTGAGTATCCTGGAGACTCTGTAAGTAAAACCTTTGGTTTCTTTTGTTCTTCTTCAAAATTGCTGTTGCAATAATGATCTTTCTAATTATAGCCCAAGCATTTGTGAAAAAGTCGGGGAAAAAAAAACTTGTGTAATTAAGTATGTCTATTCCTAATACTCTCGTCTTTTATTTCAGACACTTGGAAGACAATCAGCTTAGTGGAGAAATTCCACCTTCTCTTGGAAACATTATGAGCCTTAATGAAATGTAAGTTCGTCTTTCCATAATAAAACAAAATGAGTATGATACATAATGGATTTTGACCCCTAAGTTTGCATAGATTTCAATTAGTAATCTGCAACACTTCTGTTTTACACAATCATAGTTTCCCTATGATGTATTATAAGTACACTTTTTCTCAAGTATAGTAGCCCTACGACGCTAGCTAGTATAAGCACAGTTTCTATAACCACCTCAACGGATTTGCTAGACCTTTTCTCTGTCGGAAAGTGGGTGGTGGTGGTACACAGCGTCATTAGGCACATGCTAATCAAGGGAATTAGGATAGCTGGATCAACAGACAGGTGGATGTGGCTATGCAGCACGGAATTAACTAAGTACCTCAAATAGTGTCTCTTAAGTAGATTTCTCTTGGTATAGAGATCATTTTCAAAAAGGTTGAAGCAGGTTTTAGGAAAGCTTGTGTCAGATACTTAAATTCATGGATGGTAGAGCAGCCATTGATCTCTTTAATGTGAGAATCCAACTGTCAATTCGAGGTTTTTATCACTTACGAGTCATTACCTTGAGCATCAACAAGCAAAAAGGTACTGCTTGGAAATATGTCTAGGCGCCGAGAAAGGACTACTATCCAAACTCATGGTAAATGAGAGATGTACTTATTGACCTTTGTATTCATCTGCCACCTAGTTCTAATATTTAGACTACTGCAAAATTTATGAGTACATGAGAAATAGGATCACAGAGTTTAACCGATAGTAGTTCTAGTTTTGGGATGCAAGTGGTGGGGCTGTTAAGTTGAATGATAGTTGTTAAACAAAGAAAGCAATGAGCTAGCTTACCACAGCTGTACATAGCTCAAATTATTCTTGTTCGCTTCAGCAACAGGATCTCTATCGAGCGAAATCACCATTAAAGCCCACGCGGTAATACTCATTTTGTAGAGCTTCCACTACAAAGCACTCATTTGATCAGAGCTTATAGAAGCTATTGTGTGAAAAACTAATGTTCTAAAGTCATTACCTTGAGCATCCTTGACTGCTTTAGACATAACTTTGCTCATAGAATTTCATTTCACAAGCACTCGTTATGTTTTTCTTTTCTAAGAGACCATAATAGAGATATATTAATGATATCAAATGCCATCGAGGAACTTTCTTGATGTTGTATATGCTCATATGCTGAGGTAAAGTTAAATGACACATTATTATTTTTGTTGCAGCTTCTTGCAGAACAATAATTTATCTGGCCAGATACCAAGCAGTCTTCTCGGAAAACCAACGCTGAATCTCAGGTAATGAATCACTCATTAGTGATAAGCTTTTCGTTGCTTTTGCCTTTTGCTTTTTGTTCGAATATCAATCAAATTGCTCTGTTGCTTTAATTGTAGGACCACTCCTGGGAATCCATTGTTGTCACAGCCCCCTATATGAGGAGATTGTCCTTGCTACTTTGGACATTGAGAAGTATAAAATATTCAGTTTTCGACATTAGATTTCAGACCCTCCAGTTCCTTTTTCTCAATATTTTTGAATTTTTGGTGAAAAGAAAAATCTTCAAAGCTTACTATTTTGGAACTCCGGAATACACTCACCAAGACTAACTATTCAAAATGGTTTGCCAGCACATTGTCTGCCCAAGTAGTTTAGTAAAATGGAATTTTGCTGTAATTTTTTTGTGTGTCCATAGCTGTATGTACAGTCATTCAAGGTAACTCAAAAAGTTGTGTTTTTGATTCATATATACTGAAAACTCAATTGTATAAACATGTTTGTAACTTGTTTATTATTGAAATGATGCAAGAGCTTTTGTATTGATTGTCGTAAAGATATGACACCTGCACCTAACTCAATCCAAAAACTAGCTCTTGGGGAGATGATTGTCCAAAAGTCCATATAAGTAAATCACCAGTTCATTCTCCGACCTATGTCGGACTATAATCCACACAAACACGTCCTTCACCCATGGCCCAACTGGAGCGTGGATCGAAAGCCTAAACAAATATGCATTTGGCTCTGATACCATGTAAAGATATGACATTATGAGCCTAACTCAACTCAAGTGTCATATCTTTACTATTGTAAAGTGAACTACTTTGTTTTGTTCCCTCTACAATGAAACCATCAATGAAGAACATGCACAAGAAATTGCAAAAAAAGTAGAGAGTACTATAAACTTGCACAATTCCAAAAGAAATTCAAAGAGGCATATGCCTTGTTGGTTCACTATTTCTTTGCATGAAAAGAAAAGCTAGAACATGTTAGATTACAATAACTCTTGAAACTAGATAACATTAGCTTCACATACATGATACATTACAGGAAATGAACACATCAACATTGTAAGGTAAATTCATCAGATCCTACGACGAAAACATGTAATCTAAACTCATGAAAAGAAGAAAGAAAACCAAATCAAATAGTAAGAACATCTCTACACAATGACCAACAATAGCAAAGTTCTTATTTCACCTCTCTATTGCCCTTACTTTTTTCTTAAGTGAAAACAGAGGAGGCAGAGCAGAGTTTTTCCCCTGTGAACAAATTGGCACATGAATCACAGGTCTAACTTTTAAAGTTTCTGATTTACACCTCTCTAATGATCCTTTCTTAATCCTCTTCACATGTTTCTCTTTGATTGATTGCCCTTTACTTTTTTCATTCTCAGCAAGTGAACTTGAAGATGAAGAAGAGGAAGAAGTCGAAGAAGAAGGCGATAATGAAGAAGCTCTTTTGTGCTTCAATCTCAACAACTCTTTCCATAAAACAGTACATTTTGGTGGCCTAGGAGAAGGATCTTCATCAATAAACCAATTTATTGGCCTACTAGCAGTTTCTTCCTTACTCTTTATGACCATGGCATTGTCCAAAATTTCCTTGTCAGCTTTTAAACTAATTTTATTGAGCTTTTCAGCATAATGCATTTGCCAATAAGGACGTAACTTACCCTCGAAGAACAGCTCATCTGCTGTGATCATGTTTTCATTGGTTAACTTACTCGAGAGGAACTCGAATTCAGCTGCACTACGCGTTGATCTGTCTTGTTGCTCTTTTCGCTCTTTCTCTGCTTGTGCATTTGGTGTAATGGATATGAAGTTTCTCTCATCAAGAAATTCTGAAGAGAAGGAAATTCGGGGACTAGACGTTGGCTCATCGGATATAAGGGGACCTTCTAGGGAAACCATGTTACTAAAAGGGAGAAAAAGAGAGTACTTTGAGGGAAATGTAGGTAAGAAGTTGAGTTTGTTGTGTGTTTTATAAGGGGAGGAAGTTTAGAAGTAATGACATTTGGAGTCCGGCATCAAAACGGGACACTTTTTGAACCCTAAACACCCAAAAGGACCCTCTCTAAAAACACACTAAAACGGACCGTTCGGTCATTTATGGGTGATGGATGTGATTGGTGTGTGTTGTTGTATTTGGTAAAACTTATAGTAAATGTTTATGGAGAGTGAGAATATTTAAACCAAGTGGTCTGGAGAAGCAGAAACAAATGAAGTAAATTTATGTATTAGAATATGGGAACAGCACATGGACACCCTTTGGAGCTAAAGACAAGCTCTTTTTTTTTTCTACTATGGCATCTTTGGTGTCTTTTGATGGATTCAAATAATCAAGTAGCATAGGACAAGAAAGTACTTTGATAGTTCTTACTTCTATTTTTTGAACTCCCTAGGAGAAGAGAAGTTTCTACTTCTCTTGTTTGTTGTTTTTGAGTAGATTGCACTAGTGAGGTGGTGCTAGTAGTTGACTATGGGGTACGAGGAGAGGTAGATGTAAGTCAAAGAAGTATTTGGAAAGGTGATTAGATAAGACATGACCCTAGATAGGAGGATATGGAGGTCAAGGATTAGGGTAGAAGATTAGTAGGTAGTCGAGTGTTGTCTAGTTTTCCTTATCAGTATTATTATTATAACTCACACACTATCTTATTCTTTGATTTTATTATTACTTGTTGTTTCTTTTGCTTCGATTATCGTATTATGTGTTGTTACTACGGTTTATCTCTCTATTATGTTCAACATGACCGCTTCATTGTTGTATCTACCCTTTCATACTTGATTTAATTATGCTTTACTTGAGCTGAGGGTTTATCAAATAAACTTCTCTACTTTCACAAGATAAGGATAAGACTGTGTACATACCACCCTCTCCGAATCCCGGAATTATATTGATATGTTATTGTTGTTGTTATTACTTTGAGATGAATTCTATGCTACACTAGTAGTCAGCATAAACTGTAACAGCAAAGAAAAAAGCTGCACAAAAAGATACATAGAACCTGGGAATATTTAAGGAAGGTGGTTGAGTCAAGTCATAAATGTCACTATTCATCAACATAATGAACCAAGTTAAATTATGTTTATAGAGAAGTCAATCTAGGGATTAATTTGAGCAAAATAGTTGGTGAATTAGGATGTCATTTTCTCAGATATCAAAATGCCCATGATTCAATAACCTAAGACTAGTTTAGTTATAATGACAAAGCTATTTCATTATTAGTGACATAATGAGAAACTATGTGGCCCTCATCTACTTTTGGCATAGGTGCAGCTGCACTTAATTTTAACTTTGACCATATAAATTTGACAAAGACCTTATAGTTGAATTTGCAATTTTAGTCCCTCAAATATCGATAAATTGCAATTTTCGTCCTTGTTATATCTGACTAAACAAATATAACCTTCAATTAATTGAGATGTGTATCTTTGATTCATTTGCTGGCGAATCTTCATAAATTTGAAAAAATATATACCATTCCATCATTTGACTACCCTTGTATTAGGTTAAGTTTGTACATTAGTCCATATTAAAGGGTAATATAGTCATATATTTCACCAACTCTTTATTATAGATTCACCTATATTTTGTAGCATTAAAACATTATACTAAAATAAACTGAAAAATCAGGAGTATCAATTAGTCAAAGGGAGAGGGTGCTTTATTAGTTTGACCCTTCATATAACCTAAAGATAGTTCATAATAATAACATGGGAGGACTTCTAGGCATGTGGTCACATGAGTCTAGCCATGTGAAACTATGCAATTCCCAATTAAATCAAAGTTAATGATCTTTCTATTTGACAAGATTACCCTTTGTAGAAGTTTGTTTTTTGGCTGGTCTCTTGGTAATTTTCTTCACCTGGCAAAGGGTAGTTTAGTACTTTCACAAGGTTTACAATGTGGTACTTATCATGTCCTGGTCTTGGAAAAGCTTGCATTAAGATTTGGAACTTTGTAATGACCCTTATCCATTTTCTTTGTTGGTATGTTTGGTGTTTGATATTTATATTGAAGTCTGGTCAAATTTAAATTCCAACAGTAGAGTCAAATGAAAGATAAAACTCTCTCTAGTAAAAATAACTTTCGTATTTAATAGATTCGAACCTAAAACGTCTTATTAAAATAAAAAAATATTTACAACTCCATCGCAATTCTGATCGGGAATGACTCTTATCTAATCAATGACAGCTATGAAGACAAGGTGAATCATTTTCATTATTACATGCATACATAGGTGTAATGACAAATTTTACTAATATTATTTTTCTTAAAGACAGAGTACCTTTGCATGCACAATCAATGGCTCTGTTTAATTGTGATTAAGAAAATACTGATGAAGTTTAACAACGGCTCATAAGATAAATTAATATAAAAATTGATGATCTTGGGAGATGGAAAATATGATTAATTTTTTTTTCATTTTTTATGTTATCTTTGGTCAATTTGCACATATAGCTTACTTATTATCTAATTAAGTAGATGAAATAAAAAGGATCCTGCGGAAATTTTGATAATTATGAATTGATCTGTTTTTTCAAGTTTTCATTGTTGGAACCAGTGAGGAAATATGTATAAGTTTATTGATCTTTTGTATTTTGAGAAATTGTGAATTTATATAATAAATATTATAATATACATAAAAGATGCATTTTTTTAATACAAAATAGTATATATTTCTTGTATATTTGGCTAACGAATTTAATTATTTTAGCTAAATATGTAAATATTTCCAATTCAAAAATTAACCATCTAAAATAGTAATGGTAGGGAGTATTTTTATACCAAATTAAAAATAAATGTGAAGGTAGAATTTAAGATAGATCGAGTTAAAATATTATAGTTCAGCAAAAAAAAAAGCAGTACGGTTTACTTTGATATAGTGGAGGAAAAAGATAACGCAGTAAAGAATCAAATTAAGGGGGGAAACTCTTTTAATTTGGATTTTTTTTTTTGGCAATTAGTGTTTATCCATATAATTTGTTATTATTTAGCAAATATTTTTGATAAATAACTCAAATTCTCAAATACTAGAAAAAATTAGTATTTGAGTCATATCTCATTATTTGGAAGCTTATAAAAATTTAAATTCTACACCAAATTGTTACTATCTTTTATAAAAATATCATCTATAGTAGTTGTTTGCATTGTATTACATAATTTTTTACGTGAACACCAAAGCAGTGATGAAATATTCAGTAAATATGAAAATGATGAGATGGTTGTTGATGATAATGATGAACAATCGGTTCAGGGTAACTAAGTCATGTCTTCATCTACTTCAAGATATATGGAATGATGATTGTTGCACTTACTCTGAACTACCACATTGCTCCAGTGTCATGGACAATACTTATTATTTGTTGCAACGAAGATCCAATAAATATATTGTGGAAGTAATGATAGTTTTTAGAACATATTCATTTCATGGGAGGCGAATTATATTACATATTCATATCCACAATAAAAGAATTAGTGAGACTCCCTTTTTTTTATATCCCCAATCTTATTAAATTTTGAAAGTCAACTCATTTCACGGGCCTGGTGAAATGCAAAACGGCGAAGAAGAATTCACATGAATTTAGGGTATAAATTATATTTCTTAAAAGAAGTGAAATATGTTTTCCAAATAGTCAAATATTATGATCAAATATATAATGAAATTTCATTCAAATTTTCACCCAAATAATATTTATCAAAAATATTTGAAAATCTATGACCAAACGTTAGCATAGTATAATAGACTGGTGTGCTTTGCTGTAATTGAGGAGCTGGAACTAAAGAAAAATGGGAAAATTGTATATAATAGCAAACTATTAATTCAAATTAAATGCTATAAACATAGTTTGATTTAATTGTACCCCATAACAAACTGTTGCTATTTTGCCTCTCTCCTGGTGAATCTCGCTCGCCACTCTCGCTTTATACAAACACAAATGTATAAAATGGGTTTGTGTTTGTATAAAGCGAGAGAAAATTGTATATATACATATATTTTCGTTCCCCTCTC